AGTACAATTTTTACATTACACTCCACATGGCAAAAAGAAATTACATTGCTAGAAATACCACAGGGAAGTTAATGCAGCACAACAAGTTTTCTGAAAAGTCCATTTCACATCTCAAGGTTTTTAGGACAAAACTTCAACTTTCAAGAACATCTCCTGAAGACAGGGCACTTTTAGCTTGAAAGGATACAATTGGAGAAAAAAAATATCACGCAAAACTAAGGCTACTTCATTCTTGCAGTGTTCTCTTTGAGGAAGAACAAAGCCTCTCTCTACATAATACCCTAATGCCAATAAATCTGCAATTGAAATCAGAGAGGGGGAAGTGTATTCCACGTATGGTAAACACTGATGCTGTATTTAGGACAGGTATCTTACTCCAGTGAATGTAATAGGGTCTAATCAAGAAGTAACATAAAACTTAGGCTTGGACTTGATAGTTTGACCTAATAAAAGTTTACACAGGAAGAAAACAAATTTTGTTCGTGGAATTTGAGTTAGTGTTGATGATGAGGCATTAGTGATGAGCAGTGCTAACACTCAGGTGGTAGCATTCAGAGTTAATGCTCATAGGCAAAACAAAATCTGCAATAAGGTGTAGTAGTTCCTAATAATCCAGCTAATTCCTATAGCCAATCACATAGGCAGTCTTTTGAATGCATCTTTCAAGCCCCTCATGGACCAGGCTCAGACTGAGATATACAAAATACCGTTCTGGGAGTTGCAGTACAGGTAGATTGATGCCTTGGCTAGTGCTAAGCTGCTGTGGTCTTGCAGCATGTTGTAGGCAGCACAAAAGGGGTCCTTGGGATAAGCCCACAAGCACCACTGGCCTCTGAGCTCCTTGCAGGATGCCCTTCGGGGACCCATGCTCACGCTGCCTGTCCTTGAGCGAGGTTCAAGGATGGACAAACAGTGGGATAAACATACCACGGGCAAGGCTGCCGTGGAAGATGATCTTCCCAAGCGGTGCACACACAAATGCTTATGTTTAGTGGCACATGAGGCTATGGCAGTGGCTGGAGGGCCAGCACCTGAGCAGCTACACTTTGTCAGTTCCTGGAAAGGAAATAGTGCTAAAAAACACATGGCACTGGGAGAACTTCAGTGCACAGCCCCTTTTCCCAAGAGGTAACTATTAAGCCCGACAGATCCCAAATACAGTATTTTAAGCACATGTTTGTGACAGATTGGAAAAGCTCAGCACTATTTTTCTAACAGCTGCAAAAGCTCTGTAGAGAGTGATGAAACAAACTTGTATGACTGGGATTTCTAGTCTTTCAGAAAGTGTTGTTTCTCAAATATTTTTCAGCCCTGGCTTTATTCCTTTACCATAGAGTAACAGAAAGGTAAGTGTAAGGAACCTCCGAGATGCCCTCCTCCAGCCTCCTGCCGCACAAGAGGCTCTCAAGTGCTTCACTCAAATCCCACTAGCATTTGTCTGACTGTTCCTGAAAAGCTCCAGTGAGGGAAATTCCACAACACGCTCCTGTATCTCCTTTCACTACCCTGGCAGGCAGCTTGTTTTGTTAATATCCAAGCCAAATCCTTCTGGAGCGGTTATGCCTGATAAGTGAATAGTAATCTGAAAAAGCAAGTTTTCCCCAGCACAAACTCCTGAAGTATCTCCAGCCAGGCCAGGGGATATAATCCTATTGCATACCACGAGCGAAGAGCAGGCTAGGGATGGCCACAAACACAGTAAAAAGTCACAGAAAAGAGCACTGTAAAAATCTGAGGCTATCGCAAGACAGAAGCTGCTGAGAGCTAGTCCTGTGGATACTGCAGTCACACGGCAGCTGCAAAAAGCCCGGATTTATGAAAGCAAGAAGGGGGACAAAACCCCTTCTGTCTTTGTTACTAAATCTCACACTTATCTTGTTGATTCCACTTCCAGGTCACCTTCCTGTTAGTGACAACTTGTTTACATCTGAGTTTAGAAATGCACATCCAAAAGCTAACTTGCACTAAAGATCTGCATAGAAAATTTTGGAAACTTGGGTAAATGCATTAAGGACAAACACTTATGATGTCTACACAGGTCAGAGAAGTTAAGCTTTCAAAACATTCATTATGCCTGCTCTCCCAGGAAGTTCCAGCCTATGATGAGAGTCACACACACTCAGGTTTTGGAATTTTTCACAATGGAAATGAAATCTTCTCACCTACAATTTAGATGAACGCTATTCTGGGGTACGTCACACCATCGCAGATGTGAAGACAAGAGAAGATAAACTTCAGCAGAAGGTTACTTTGGAGGCAGGATTCTTCCCCCGCCACTGTTTGTTTGCTTTCCAGCATTGTTACTTCAAAATATTAACTACTTTTCCAAGTTTTGAAGAGTTCTTTTAACTTGTTTCATAAGAAAAAATATGACTTAAGAGTCAGAATGTTCCTGTTTTGTTATCAAGTCCTAAACAAAGCAATCTGCTTTTTCAGATCTGCTTTTCTAGCTCCAGGGGATAATTTAATAATGAAACTAGATGAAAATATTTTAATTTTGCTGCAAATGCTCTGCGGAGTTTTGGAGGTAAAAATTAAGATCAATGCAACTGATCATAAACACAATTTCAGAAGATTAAAGGGTAAATGAGGAATTACCTTCCAGTCTAAAGCTTGTATCCTCCATAAGGCAGAGTAAATCCACTATAGAATGGCTTTTGAATCAAAAGAGCATCAGGCAGGACCCTAACACAATTGAGAAAACCAGAAAAGATAGCACAGCACCTTCTTTATCACAAAGAGTACAGATTCCTCCCATTAGCATGACTAATTCTGGAGTCAATTTAAAAGCACTAAACCCTGAATACTCCACTCAATTCTCAGGAAAGCCAGAGGGAGTTTCAAGCACAGGCAGAATGACATGGATATGTTAATATTTTATTTACAGATTAAACATTCAGATTCCCTCCTTAAGTATTTTTCACTGAAGTAAAAGCAGGCTGTAAAAATTTGAGGGCTTTATTTCCTACCAACAGTCTTTAAGTAATGAGACGCAGAGTATTTGTACTTTCATGCAGGCAGTCCCAGTGATGGCACTGCAGTGGTTTTGATAAAGAAAATAAGATTTGACTCCAACAATGAGAGTTATTAGAAATAAACAGATGAGATGATCATCTTTGTTTTGACCAATATGTTTCAGGCTGCTTCATACCTGGTTTATATCACTAACTGCATAGCATCTTCCTCTGTTCAGGCAAATGATTTACAATAGTATTAGCAATCTAACTACATAGGGTCAGGAAAGACACATTGCACCAGTAAAAAAGACAGCACTCCCCCTCCCCCCTCCCAAAAATCATAAAAAAAAAAAAAAAAAAAATCAAAAGGCTCCATTTCCCAAAGCCAGTTTAAGCACTGGGTTGACCATAAAAATGGTACCCCAGAGCACCACATCTGCATCAAGTGAGCCCCATGGTTCACAGTCGGTCAGATGGACAGAAACAAGAGAGCTTACAAGCGTATGGAGTTTAGGCAAATTCCTTCTGTCATTTCACTTGTATCTTCATAAACTGGTTCTGAGGACTAGCAACACATGGTATTGACAGTGAGGCCTGCAGAGCACCCTAAGGTCCTCATATGAACCACACAGGACTTCCTTCTCTTGGAGGGAGGGAGCAGGGCTTGTTGCCCTTTGGTCCTTGAGTTCACAGGGGAAACCATCCCTTGGACGTTTTGCTTCTCCCAGGTCTACTCTTGCATTGTGTAAAACAATGAAGATTAGTGTTATTACTCATCATAGAAGAGATTATTGTTCAAGACAGCTGCCACCAGTAACTTTGTAATCACTATTTTTCTTTTTTGGCAGTCTCAGGTGCTTCTCCCAGGGTTTCATCATGTTGCTGCTGATTCAGTTTGATACCTTTTAGCAGGGGTCACATCCTGACACTCATGCCTGGGGGATGTCACCCTCTCCCGGCATCCTTGTCTCATCCATTTCTTGCATGGCAAATTCCTGCAATCCTTCACAACAGACCAGAATCAAGAGGCAAAGAACTCGCTCCCTCTTTTAATTCACTTAAAAACACAAACATAGCAAGAATTTGTCTCTGTTGCTCCCCTACCCACAAGAGCTTAATTAAGGAAGTCTCTGACTCACATGAGCAGCGCTATTAAAGCAACTCTCCCATTTATGTCTTTCAATATAAAATCTATAATTAACAATTGGCATTCAGAGAACAATAATTATGTTATGTAAATCCTGAAGTACTCATACGATTTATTATCAGCATACTGCTTTAAAACACGCATTTAGCAAAGCACTTCTGAATACGTCTATATGAAAGAGCATATTCAGTGGGCCATGGATTTCCATGGAAGGCCTCCAGTCTTTAAAGCACACACTCAGATACCCTCCTAGATTTCAAGTCTTAGCATCTCTTGCACTGTAGAAAAGGAAACACGCTAAACAACATGTTCTTTTTCCCTGCAGGGCTCTGGGCACAGCATCATGAGGTAACTGCAAACGATGAGTTTGCAAATTGTCAGCAGAATCTGAATGTGTTAAGTAGGTTTTTACAGAGTGGGCCTTCATGACCCATCATTGGCAGAATAAGACACATTACTTCTCAATAACAAGGCTAAAATAAGGGAAGTTCTAAGATTTCTCAATTGCTTTTAGATTTTAATATATAGGTTATTTTACTGTATGCACACTACACAGTGATAAAAAACAACGCAATGTGACAAGCCAAGAGAGTTGCTCATAGTCCTTCTGTACAAGTAATTTGGTGCCTATCATTCCTCTGCTCCCAGCTCCATCATCTGCTCCAACTGTTAACCGTTCTAAATGTCCTGTTGACTTCTCCTGTTCCAGCCCTTCGGTGAACACAGCAATAAAGAAATCTCTCTCCTCTTTCTTAGGTCTGCCTGCAAGGTTTTGCAGTATTTGGTGTTGCGCATGCTCTGCCAAGTGAGACTCTCACCTCTTGTTAAAGAGAGCAGCATGTACCCAGCCCTCAGGCTAGGGGAGGGGGAAGACACTTAACAGTGGGACACAAATGCACCTGAAGACTGAAGAAAAAGAAAAAGAAAGCCCTAAAGGGAACCCCCCACCACCTTTAATCTTTATTACAGAAAATCTCACCTTTCTCTGCACACTGCAATTTCAAATCAGTATGGGGCTGGTCAAAGCATTTATCTTGCCGTGCGACAAAGACACAGCAGGAGAACATGAGGCACTATGTTAGAAATGGGTTACAAAAACTTGCTTGTTGCCAGCTTTTTCTATCTCCTTGATATTCCACTCTTCCCACCTCCAGTGTTCACATCCCATGAATTCTGTAGCCTTGGGAAAGGCAGGCACTTCAGCATCTTTCACAGCCTCGGTACTTTGGAGAGCATTTTGTCCAAGCTTCCCTATGAAACAAAAAATGCTTCCAGCTATTGAAAAACTGTCTAGTTGGACAATTACATTCCAGCTGAGTCAGAATTTCAGTAAAGTTTTAAAGTATCAGCTGCTTGAAGTAATCTAGTGGGATCTGAGCCATTTCTCCTGACCTAGGGCAGTTCATGTCTAATGAATGTAAACTCCCAAAGGAAAAAAATTGGCAAACGAATTTTGAAGGGGGAACAGATGTGTTGATTGAGACGTATTTTGTTTTTCATAGTTCTGTAAAGTTGATGTAATATTCAAGAATGCTTAAGAACTTACTGATTGAAGCAGCTGGCAAGTGGGAAGGGTGGGATGTTGGATGATGAGGTGCCTTACTGTGGGAATTGAAGGGAAAGAAAAAAAGAGGAGACTGAAATGGAGTCAGACATGCTTCTAATCCTTTCACTTTAGAGGAGGAGACAGAAAAAGAGGACATCAGCAAAAAGGGAAAAAAATGAAAGCAAGCCCAAAGATGATGGAAGAGAACACATGGGAGAAGGCTCCTCTTGCTCACGGCAGAGCAATGGTGAGCAGTGCCGCTCACGCTGCTCAAGAGCGGCCTCCAGCGCCAGGCGCAACGCGGGATTATGGCAATCAGCAAGTTTCCTTCCTATTCATCTGACCCGAGGAAAAGTTAACTCTCCATACAAATAATTTTTCCATAACATGAACTTTACATATATACACACACACAAACACACATATATATAAAATCAGAGATAGTGAGAGAAAAGTACAAAGGACAACGATTATTCTCATGCATAAAGACTCAGGTTCAGATTCACTAATGTTTTCAAAGATGCTGGATCAAATCAATTTCATTTAATGTAACTGACTTGAAAAATACATATTTGTTGATCCTAGTTTTTTATTATAGATATGTGATATTTAATGTTATATTTATAAGGACTACACTGAAAAACTATGTTTACACAGAAGAGCAGGTAGAGAAAAAGAGCTTTGCAAGACTGAGATACTTAAGACAGTTACATACCTTGTTCTATTACTCTAAGCAAATAGACTTTTTCTGCTTCAGCAAGTCTCCTTACCATTTGTTACTTTTTAAGACTTAAAATAGCTCAGTGCTAGTGAATCCCTACAGCACTCGCTAGAAGATGACTTTTAGAATATATGTGAAGGCTCAATACAAGAATTAATCTCTGTGTGTGGGAGAAAATCTACTTCTAACATTTCTTAAAATGGTATGTCTTCCAAGAAAAATATTTGTTAAACCCTGGGCTGTGCATCTGTATACTGTTCCTAAAAGAGAAAGTGGAGCACACAAGGATACTGAAATCTTTTTCATCTTTCCAAACAACTTTATTGCTATTTATTCCAGAGAGAAATAAACTAAATTAGACAATAAAAATTGATACAATGCACTTCCTAGAATTACTGGTGAATTAATTTTTCTTATTATTCTAGTGTTCTGTGTAGCTGTTTTCCATTAGACACTGAACCTGCCATCTACATTGTCAATGCTACCATTTATTTTAACTGTTCGGGAAAATCAGGCAAGTTTTAATGCCACTGACAACAATGCCTACAATGCAAGGAAGGTGAGGCCTAAGGCAAATACATGGAGAAAGGGAAGTGCCTGCAGAACGAAGGACCAGTTATCATACATCTTAAGATGGATTCATAATAAAATAAAATCTATCATTGGTTATAACCCTTTTGTTATTCTAGAAAATGGAGATATATATGGACATATATAAAAATCAAGCAGAATTTGTCTCAGATTACTTACAGTGTAATCAAGTGTAAGGAGACAATATATTTCAGCAATTATAAAATATTAAACTCACTATTTAATGTTTTGTTTAACAAGAGGTCAAAAGGTAGCAGACACTATTAAAATAGTTTTCTCTAAAAGCATACCCAAGTCACAGCCTAGGAACACAAACCCTTTCTGTCTTCCCTGTTTTCCCAAGCACCTCTGTTCATATTCCAGCACCATATAATTCATTTTAACTTGGCTTTATCAGGTTGCCGAATAAGGATGCGGAAGTCAGCTGGCCATAAGTTAAATAAAATATCCTCAGTGAGTCCTTATTGCTGCTGTCACCAATTTAGCTGTTCCCATGGTAAACTTAAATACCACCACAGGAAGCTGCAGCACGTATCAATTCACAAGTTGGGAAGTGTGGTGTAGGGAGATTTGATTTACCAGATCCCAGAACTGTCTGCTTGAAGGATGTGGCAGTTAAAAGCTACAGTCTGGATTTAAAAAAGAAAAACTAATCTCAAGAAAACTAAAACATAGGGCAGAATTTCCAAGTTGCTTGCTTTCAGATAGATTTTGATTTCTAACTCACTTTCTCTGAGTGTAAATTACCTAGAAACTTCTGACATTTTCTTCGGAAAAAATCCCTTTAACACAATTTGCCTTTGGAAAATACACTTCTAAACAGAAACTCCCACTTTCAACAGCTCTATAGCTGGAGCCTCTGACTTAACTATCCAAAAAGATATTACAGCATTCACAAATTAATTTTTTACAATCATTTCAATTCAGAGAAAAAAGCGTCCTTGTTAACAATGAGGCAAAAAGCCCCCTAAGAAAGATTTTCACCCCAAATTGAAAGTGACTCTGTTATCCAAAATCATAGCTAAAAGCCAATGATTCCAATGAAAACTATTCCTATTGTAAAATATTTATCAGAAATGATTATATCTTACACATGGAAAAAAGTACTTTGAATTCCTTTTCTTTAAAAAAACATAACCCTTGCTATTAACATGCCAGTAATAAAAGGAGTCATACATTTTGAGAAAGAAAGTTGAAAAAATCTTTGAGGTAGTTTAGATTAAACAAAGCCAAATTTATAGTCTGTCTTTTTCTTTATTCCAAGACCAAGAAATAGCAGCCAAGAAATCTGAACAACAAAGAAAAAAAATCTAAAGACAGGAGAGAAAACACCATTTCTGAATTCTTGTACTCCAAAAATCCCTTGAAGTGACTATGTTATTTGACCTGATGTTGTTACAGGGTTCACAATAGCATCATGCAACATCCAATACACAAACTTTTTTTTTTAGTTTACTTAGAACACTCACGCATTTAAAAACCTATTACGCAGGGAATCCAAACTAGTCAAAAGGGCTGAGAGATTTTGCGCTCCTCCGTTTTGAGGTACAACACAATGAACTTGTGCTAGAAAGTGCTGACTTTATAAGATGCAGTGTAACTCTGACCTCAGCTATATTAAACATACCTTAAAATTACATATCCAAAAACCTGAGGCACTCAGTAAAGCTGGCCATGTTTATAAAGGGGGACCAACCACTAATGAGCATATTCCAGATTTGACTTGTTTTTTCTCCTACATACATGAATCTTATCGATACATAAAAAGCTTCATTACATGATGGAAAAATGTCACAGAAACTGCCCAAGAAAATTAGATGGAGCTAAGTGATTTTTCAGCCAGCCCACACAGAACATTAGGGGGAAGAAAGCATTCCTGTGAGCAAGCACTAGCACTATTATTAGTAGTTCTGAAACTTATTTAAAAGAATTATTCCAGCTTATATCCCAGCAGGCAACACAAACTACACTTGTTCCCTGGACAGCAAAAAAAAGATACAAAATCATTAAAATATGATCCTCCCTCTGCACTGTATTTATCTTTGCCAGAAGCAAGGAAAGCAGGACTGAAACAGTTCCTGGAAAAGAAGGGGAAAAAAAAAAATCAATCCCACTTTAACAGAGGTCATTTTGGATGTGACGGCTCATGCTAGAGCTGTGGGTTGATGAAAATAGTCTAGAAAGGTGTAGAAGGCTGCACTGGAAGGGAGAAGCAGCAAGATCTCAGTTTGACGCTGGTCATGTTGAACATGCAGAGAGAAGCAGATCACTGCTGCACATCCTCAGAAATGAGAGGCACCCAGAGGACTTTTGAATGAAGCTTTCCTGAACATGAAGCCACATAATAAACTAATATGGGCATCTACACGTTCATAATTGGGTGCAATTATGAGATATAAGGAGCTCTTGGCTTCATACCAGCGCTTACAGCATGAACTCTTCCAGCCTCCAGCCCATCTCTAAGGAGCACTACCTCCAAAACCATCGTTTGCCACTCAGGCAGAAGTTGTGTACCTGCTAAAATACAACATAACATGTATACGGACTTGATCAGGGACCAGCTGTCATTAACTGCCTGGAGTTTTGAATTATAGTGCTGTAAAGCCACACTGAAAAAGTCTTGTTTTAAACACAGAAAAGAAAAAAATGGCTCAGCAAGTGTGGGACTTCTCTAAAAAACTAAAATAGAAAGTTTCCTTATAGGTAATGTGAAATAACAGGTTATATCAGACTAGGCTAATAATTACTCCCTTGCTATTTTTTTTTTCTTAAAAAACATGTAAAGGTGGTGTTATTGCTTTCCTTTAGGTCTAACCCTTGAAGAATGGCATTTCTCCTATGATCCAATTTTCTTCTAACACTGTGAAATACTAATTCTCCCTTTCCTTCCACCCCCTGGATTCCAAAGGAACAATAGCCTGAATTGACACGACTGCTTTTGTCTAATATGACATCTTTTAAGGATTTTCTTTAAGATATCTTCTACACACTCATCTCTGATTACAGCGTTATAAACGTTATGAATATACACTGTTAAATAAATAAATTTAACAGGCTTTTTTATATATAATTTTACCTAAATGAAATATTTTAAATATTTTAGAATAACATAAAAGCAATATTGCTAACATGAAAACAATTATTAAAGAAATAGTCAATGAGAGCTCAATAAACTTGCATACAAAAGCCAACAACCTTAACCATAATTAGCCATGAATACATTAATATGAAGATGTCATGAGAAATCAAAAATCATAATTAAAGTACATAGTCTTGCCCACAGATTCCACCTGTCATTCACTCTAACAGGGTTTTTTTAATGCAGCAAAAGCTGAGAGTAGGCAGGAGCCCCAGTAGACCTGATATAGCTTTTTATTTATTTATTTTTTTAAACTGGTAGATGTCGAAGTGCTTTCCCAAAGAGGCATCAAACCATTAGAGGATTTGCTCGCAGCAAAGAAGCCCTCCTGCAGAGGTCTGCAGCCTGCTACTTCAGTCACTCAAAATTTCCTTCCCAACCCTTCTAAGAAACCACAGACTGATAAGAAGCTCACGACTAAAACCAAATAACCCTTTTCCTTGAATGCAGCTTTTTAATGACTAAATTAGAAAACATTTTGTTCTCCTTTCATGCCCCCACAGTATGAAAATATGAATATTTGCCCCTCTTCAATAGTTTGAACTCTACAGCTCTGTTTCTGAGCTGTATTTTAATTCTTGACTCTAAGTTGCAAATACTTTGCAGATTCCTGGAGATCCTGGAAAGCAGCTCTGCAGAGAGGGACCTGGGTGTCATGGTGGACAACAAGTTGACCATGAGGCAGCAGTGTGCCCTCGTGGCCAAAAAGGCCAATGGGATCCTGGGC